ATCAGCTGTGCGAATCTGGGACTCAGTGCAGCATCACAGCAGTGATTAGAGAGACGAGTGCAGCAAAGTTTATGTCGACGTTGTTGAAGACGGGGTGGCAGCTAGTAGGACGCATGCAAGAGGAGAAAGACTAGAGACTTAGAGAGAACAAAAGCGACGACATGGTGGCACAGCAGAGAGTTAGACTTAGAGAGGTGGTGGAGGTTGAAGAGAAAGAGTGGCACGCATAAGTACGTCATTATATGCTCTCGTTCTTCAGCCGTTGATTACATAAGCAAGTTAGGTATCAGTTGCCCAAGATAATCTAAGTATAATGTACATATTATATACTTATAGTATACTTTTATTAAGATAATAGGGATACAACAAGTGCTCTTACACTATTATATACATTAATATACCTTTTGCATAAATTATAAGATAACAATAGTTATTATTACATTATTATATTATAAATATAACTCTTTTTTAAAGATTATAATTTAAATGTAATACAAGTATAATACTTTAGGTTATCATACAAAGTTAGTATAATACATGTAATAGATTTTATTCATCCTTAGTACTTATGTAGTCTTTATATACATTAATATGTCTTATTTAAACATTACAATTCATTTACAAACCTTACAATTACTTTACAATGTATATACAATACACATGTTACTTTACAAGGTCTATAAGAAATTACAAGAAATGTGACATTTTCCTGATGTGTGTTCTCTAGGTTAATAGTACTCTTAAACTGGAAATGTAGACCTACAGCCCTTAATCCAACTATATTCCCAAAGCTACCAGCTAGGATTTATGCTAAGAGAATGAGTAGGAATATAAGAAGAGTCAAAAAACTAAGGAACTACTGTATCTACAGACTACTTTTTATAATAACTAAATAACAAGAGTAAAGTAAGGAATGAAACTTGAGAATAAGATTAAAGAAATAATAAGGACAAATATTACAAAGCCAACAGGTGCATCAGAGGCCAGGAAGAATTAACAGAGTATTGTGTATCAGAGAATATAAGCTAAGAGACCATTATATAAAAGAGGTACAAGTTACTATATTGGGTAAGAAA